AATAGTTGTATCCATCATCTCTCTGGAATTTTCCTTTGGTTTTGGTGATGGTTTATAGAATCATTTACTTGAATTAAATTTTCTAAAATTATTTCTATACAAATTCATCATACCATATTCATAAATATTTTGAAATGCAAGAAGTGAAAGATGAAGGAATGGATAGAAGATGGAAAGATTAAGAGAGAGGAAGAAAAATAGTTTATGAAAAATAGATAAATATATTAAAAACAATAACAAGGCTGTGCACTAGTTGGGAAAAGCCCTAAAATAGGAATTTTTATTTACAACATTAGCAATGTTCAAATGATGTATGTTTCAAAAAGATATCTACCAGAAGGAAAATCCTAAAACCAGAGAGAAAATATTATCATAATATATAGCTTTCTTAAAATCACTTAATATTTAAATATCTGACTTCTATTAATTTTGACAATCTGAGAATGATGGTCTATTTTCTGAGTTGGTTTAAATTAAAATCCAATGAATTCAAAACAGGCATTTTGATTTTGTTTGGTGAAATTGAATGCTTTATGTTGCATCTTTTATGTGCTTACAATTACATGAATATAAAGTAAGATTTTATTAGCCTAGCCCATACATATTTTTGACAATAAAACATCTATATTTATCATTGCCATTCATATTAAGTTACCAAACTTCTTATAAATTTCAAAATCCTGTGCTTTTCATGTAGTGTGAAACTTTCAGGTTTTGTCATATCTGAAGTTCTGGGCTTTAAATGAGCATTTACTGGGTAGGCTCAAAACTAATACATTGTATATGTAACAGCACCATTACTTCCAAATATGTCCTTACAGATTACTATCACACATATAATAGTTAAGCCAATTAAAATAAGACAAAAATGATATTTTGTGTTGTCATTGCATTGAGAATAGGTATAACCTTTTGGCTTGCCTTACAAAGAAGTGGAATCTGTCTTCTCAGGTAAATTTAGTCTGACCTTTTAGTACATTTGGGCCCAAAGAATGCAGTAGAAATGTGGGGTGTCTGGAACTCAGCCTATCATATTGTAGTTCTTGTTCTTGGATCATGCCCTCACTATCCTGGGATCAGACTCTGGATTGTATTCTAGAGGTTCATATGGTTATAAATAGTTCAGGATGTTGGGCTATCATGTAGAAACAAGGACATCAACTCAAAGGGAACTCTGCAAGTTAGTTTACTTCCAGAGAAGGGTATGGCATCAGCCCAAAATCGAGCAAGCAAGCACACAGAACAGGCAGGCTGCTCCCTTTCTATCCCTCACCCAGCAGGCCCTGCCCCTCAGCTCAAATTGGCTGCATTCAGATTCACAATATGCAAAACAATGTGGCTTACCAAACAAAATACAAGTAAAATTCAAGGAGCTTCTAACTAACTAGATGTCTTAATTAAAGTGCTCAGGAAACAGTTGTATGTAACTAAAATATAATTTAAAAGGGTCAAGCCAACTGGCAAAAGCAGGAACCCTTCAGAAAAACAATTCTCCCAAAACTAACAGAAAGGAAGCAAACTACTTGATAGAAAAGATGCCTTTCTCACAATATGAAAGCCTGAGGCATATTAATCAAGGGCATCCTAAAGTTACCAGGTTCTACACAACCTAATAGCCAAGTGACTTCAGTCAAATCCAGTGTGGGAGGTAGGTAGAGTAAAGCCATTAAGTCATTGGATTTCACACTATGCTCTGGGATTTCAAGGAGTCCTAAACATCTTTTTAAGATGTACTGCAATATAAAAATATTTTTATAATGATAACAGAGCATTGTCTTTTATTTCTCATTCTAAAAGAATTTTGGTTATAAAAATATTTTTATAATGATAACAGAGCATTGTCTTTTATTTCTCATTCTAAAAGAATTTTGGTTGTTTTTTAAAGGTAGTGTAATGATTGGTTGGTATCAATACAAAGTAAATATAGATGCAAATATGAGGGGAAACAGCCTTCTGTTAACTCAAGAATTTTAAGAGTTCAGAATAAAATTTCAAATAATATGAACTTCTAAAAAATATGTTTTGAAAATTCAACTCTTTTTCATAAAATACACTGTTTACATTCTGTTGTTAATGTTAAAAGCAATGACAAATGTGCAACCATTTCTATCTTATGTTCTAAACTGTATTAAATACTATATGAGTAAAACTCAGATACCTAGAGCTCTTTAGATTTTACAATTTTTTTTAAAGAAAGTGTAAGGCAAAAAAAGTGACAACGGCTGAACTTTGGATTTTTGCAGCATCTCTTCATTCTGAGAATAGAAATTATTTCTAAAGAAACATCACTCTGCTTTGTCCCTTGTGACAGAACTTCTCCAGCACACTGTGAAGTTCAAAAGCATTGCAACCTGTAAGCCACAACAATGTTAAGTCATTTTCAGACTTATTATTTTAAAACTACAAAATGAAGCTTATTTCCTTTCCAATATAGGGGAAGAAATATTGACTAATACTCATGTATTTAGTTGGTAGGTAAACTTGCCTATTTCATACAAAGCCATAAGTTCTGCAGAATATGGAAACATAGAATTTGAGAAGTCTAAGAAAAGACTGTGTATTGTCCTATTCAGTTTTAGCCCTGTTTTCCAACTATATTATGGGTAATTTCATTAAAGAGCTTGAATGGTATTTTGTGAATTATCTACTTAGTTAAATAGTATGTATTACTGATAATGATATGAATCTCAAAAGCAAAAAATTAACTAATGTGTGTTTGGGAAATCTAAAAGATCAGAAATGGACAAAAATGAAAGTTTTGTATTCTCTTCAAAGACAGAGACATGCTAAGACCCTATTAATTTTCTCTGTTGACAAGGCATAATGATTTGTTAAGATTAATGTGATAAAGACTAAGCTTGAGGAAGGAGAAGCAAGTCATAAAAGTATATTAGAATTATGGAAGGAAAGACCAAGGCCCAAAAGACAGGAAATTAGTTTGAAATGGATTTAGCAGAGGTTACTTATGAAATTTAATTCCTAAAATAATTTACTATTCTTACTCTCTGTAGAAGAGTAGCATGGTATGACTGTTATAAACCTAGCACTTGATTCTCTGATTTTAGTCAGTGTATTGGTTCTATGTAGCCAAGGCATAATAAAATTGCATAGATTTGTTTTTTTGGTCCATCATGGGTCTTGAACTCCTGGCCTGGGCGCTGTCCCTGAGCTCTTCAGCTCAAGGCTAGTGCTCTACTACTTAAGCCACAGTGCCACTTCTGGTTTTCTGGTGATTAATTTTAATTAAGAGCCTCAGGAGTAGGCTTTGGGCTAAAGTAAGCTTAAATGCCTCAGGAGTAGGCTTTGGACTAAAGTAAGCTTAAATTTCATTTACACAACCGTCAAATTGATACAGCATCAACATGTGAAAAATAGTTTGTAACATATTTCCTCATATTTTCTTCTTGTAATTTCCATTTCCTTAGTTTCCCTTTCTTTAATGATTTTACCCATGCATTTAACCCTTGGTCTATTCAAGATCTCTTGTCAAGATATAAAGAAATGTCCTGTTGTTCATAAATCTGGAGATGTACAAGAATCCTGGGATATTTACTAATCCTAGGAATTCACTTTACAATCTTTAAGAAATAGCTTTATAATGAATGTAATAAAAGCTTATCTGAGGATATGTTAACATTTTTTTTTAAAAAGAGCCTCAGGAATGCCTGGGCTGGCTTTGAACTGTGATCCTCAAATCCCAGCCTCTTGAGTATCTACTATTACAGTCATGCTCCATTGGCACCTGGCTGCATGCATGTATCTTTAAATATAAATTTTATAAGAATCTTTGACCAGGCATGGCAAATAAAATTAGTGAAGTAGGAACCTTGGAAGTTACAAAGTCAGTATATCAAGATTCAGTATAGAATTTCTACCAAGCCTTGGAATATCTGAAGTTCTGATTTAATTCTCCACAAGAAAAAGAGCGGTGGAGAAATTTCATGGAAGACAGTCTTTAACTGCTTCTCATGGGAAATAAAACCTCATGGGGAATACAATCTGAGAGAAAAATACTATCGAAATCCAATAGTTCACAGAAGCCAACCTAGGTATAAAAGTTTTCAAGATTCTATCTTCAAAACAATCAGCAAAAACTTGGCTGGAGGTATGATTCAGTTGTAAAGTGCCAGCTAAAGGGTCAGGGTCTTGAGTTCAAATCTCAATACCAGCTAAAGATAAAGGAAATTTTAAGGGATGAACTTCTACTAAGTAGATAAGATGAAAAAGCTGGGAAGAAGTGTTTACATGAGATTAAATGTAGTATAGCAGACAAAATACAATGACTAGAAATTTGTGGAATAATAAAAAGATACAATATTAGCACCAGTCTGAGGCTTCTAAAAGGAAAACTGTCTAATGTACTCATATTTTAGGAATGAGTTAAGATGTTGATATTTGTGTGTGTATCTGTCTGCTCATGCAGACAATCTCTGGAAGATGCCTTAATTAAATTGGTAATTATGTTTTTATTTTGTGCAATGATTTGATTTTATCCTATAGTGAATAAATTTTCAACTTGTAATTGAAATATCAAGTGACATGTTTTTTTTCTTGGGAATTATAAAAAAGTCCTCTAGAATTTATTGTGAATACAAAAAACTGAGGAGACAGTTCCCTCAATTTGGGTAATAGGCAACTAC